ATCCCTGGGGTATCACCCCGATATCCCTGGGTATCCCCCAGCATCCCCCCGATATCCCTGGGTCCCACCCCGGCCTCCCCCCGGCATCCCTCCAGCGTCACCCCGCCTTTGCCATCCCCCAGTTTGGAGGCACGCAGCTCCAGCAGCGCTAAATGCCACTCCTGGGTGCTGCAGTACTTTGGCACGCCACCAACTTTGGGGTTTGGCTCGGGATCCGCTCTCCCAGGTGGGTTTTCGGGATGGAACATCCCATCCCCTCGGCGCCGCTCGCCGTTCCTTATCAGCCGCTGCTCCGTCGCCGCTCCGATTGTCAAACACGAGAGATGCTTTCACTCCTGTTCAAAATAATTTAAATAAAAATGTTGCTACAAAGTGGAATAATATCTTTTGATGAATGTTTTTAAAGCCCTTTAGGTTTTCATGGTAATTTGCAGTGTAAAATTATTTAGAGATAAGAGCCAAATTAGCTCTTATAGGCGGAGGTCGATATGTCCCGTTATCCATGGAAGCAGTGTTTAAATATAATCAGCCTTTACTCTAATGCAGCATAATTGTTCATTTGAAATAGCTTTTTTTTTTTTCTCTCTCTCTCTTTTTTTTTTTTTTTTTACTCCATTCAATGAGTCATTAAAATATTCAAAGGATAATGCAGTGAATTGGAAATGAATTTATCACATTATCCTGTACATACTGTAGAGCATCAGGTAACCAGGCAGAGTCGGAACCGGTTTACAGAGAATTCCCGGTAAACAAGGTTTTCCATTTTGTGTTTGGTGGGGAGAGAAAAAGAAGGGAGAAAATACTGCCCTTGGAATGGAAAGCTTTCCCTCTTTATTCCCCCTCCTCGGGGAGGAGGAAGGGGGAGGGCGAGAGCAGCGAATTTGTACTCCACTAAAGCCTCGCCGCTTTAACTTTATTTTTATCAAAATATGTTTGTAACAGAAAAGTCGTTATGGAAACGGGTTCTGCCAGCCGGGAGAAATCCTGCGCCAGGCTGGAACCGAGCGGGACCCGCCGGGCTCTGCTGCCGCTTGGATCATCCAAAAACCCCTTCCCAAGGCCGGGCCTTGGGGAAACTGAGGCACGGAGCTGCCGTGGTCAGACCAGGGGTTGGATATGGGAAGCGCATCCAAGATTTTTTTAGTGGAAACGCTCCCATCCATCGCCCATCCCGGATTTTTCCCCCACTGCGGGCGCAGCTCCCGCTGTTCCAAACCCTCCCGTGGCTTTGCGGGGCTGAACGGGAATCCCAGAGATGGGGATTGGCACATTTGGGCACCGAAGGATGGTGGCATCTTTGTCCCCAGAGGTCCTGGCAGCACCGCTGGCCTTCCCCGCCGTGCCTTCCCCGCGTTTGTCGCCGCGCTCGGCGTCGCCGTTGATAAACAGGCTCCGGGTTGAAGTGTCACCATAGAAACAGGTGCTGTCTTAAGCAAACAAGGGCTTTATTAACCTTAAAAAATTATGGGGTTTCTGCACGAGGGAAGGATGGAAACGGAGCTGCGGGGAACAGGCAGGGCTCGCCCGTGCCCGTGGCTCTGTCCCCTGTCCCCTGTCCCCTGTCCCCATCCCAAAGGGACGAGCGCTCTGCGGGAAACTTTTCCTCTGCAGCGCACGGAGCGTGGCTCCAGCTCACCCGGAATGCGTGGATTTATCAAAAATCAGAGAGATGAGCTGTTAATCGCTGGCTGCTGCCATTCCTGCCCCTCGGCTGCTGGGTGAGGAGCTGTAGGGACACCTCGGGGACACTTTTGTGGAGCGTTCCCAATCCAGGCACATTCAGCGCCCCAGCAGGAGCAAAACCTCATCAGGACCAGGGGTGATTTTTAATCATTAATTGATGCTAGAGGGTAAAAACAATCAGCTTTTGGGTACCCTACAGAGAGGAGGGCTCCATATTTTGGGAGATGCTGGGATTTTGGGGCAGCTCTCCTCGCCTGGGCTATCCAAAATCCACAATTCCCACAT